ATAGATAAACCCCTCGGAAACAGTAATGGGAGTAATGATTCCCTGAGAGTATGGGAGGGAAAGGAGGGGAGGAACTGATAGCAATGATAACTGTATAACCCAATTCGAGGGAAAGGAACACAGAATTGTAGGTGAATGGATATATTGGATGGTGTAAAATACAGCAATAATAATAATGAGGATGATATGTAATATATTAAGTATTCATGGTGGTGGTAGGGTTAGGGAGGGAGGGGGTAAAGGGGAACTGATGTAAAAAATTTCAAGAAGAAAGAAAATATCTTGAAAATGATGGTGGCAGCAATTGTACAACTATGCTTGATCTAATGGAAATATGGATTGTCATAATATCTGCAAGAGGTCCTAATAAAATGATATTTAAAAAAAAGAAAACTAAATGGAGCAAAGTTCTACTTTGACAAACAGGGATCACCATGTAATGGAATCTTTCAATGGCAACTGGTTAAGTCTTAGTCTAACCAGCATTAAATGAGGATGTGGACAACTGCATGGCAGAAATGTTGGGAACATTTGACAAAAATGTTATCAGCTGCTATGTAACACGTATGGAAGAGAGAAGGGTGCTCCAAAATAGGAATCACATGAATACTTCCCAAAATGGCATTTTGGGTTCCATTGACTGAATTACTATCCCAAGTTAATAAATTATACTAACTATAATATTTCCTTCCCATTGCATATCTACCATATGCCAGACACCATGTTCAGTATGATTAATATTATCTCTAAACCTCCTTCAACAATGACCCACTCCCTTTCCATCAATGCTGACTTGTAACAGCCATACAGGACAGAACAGAATTGCTCCCTCATGTTCCTGAGACTGGAAATCTTTATAGGAACACACAGGCTTGTCCCTCTCTCATGGAGCCACCAGTGGGTTTGAAATACTGACCTTTTGATTCATAGTCCAATGCTTGACCCACTACTCAGACTTCCCAGTTTATACCTGCCACTCTCTGAAACTGTTGGGCAATCTGTTTGTGGTGACTTGATACACTAGGCAAGACTGTGCGTTGTAGTCAGAGCAGTCATAGATGTTTGTAGGGAGAATGTGCTCCTGACTCAGTGCAAGGGAAGGAGTTATTTCAGAAATCTTAAACTGAGATGAGTGATGACTCTGATATTAGGTTTATAAACCCCTGACCAGAGTGAAGTAGACAGTCAAGTACAGTGAAGGAAAATAAATGTTTTCTTCTGGGCTATTTTTATAGTTCTGAGATTTAGTTACGTTACTGTACCATGATGAATACAACAGGGTTTACATAGAGAAGTCTTAAGCTGGTGGGCTTAGACCTAAATAAGTTGGAAAATTAAAATGGGATATAAAAATCATATTGACTTTTGTTACTCCGAGAGTTCTTGTTATCATTTCCTTGAGGAATGGTTGAAGAGATTTTGTTCTTTATTCCGGTCCTTGGGTATCTTCTAGAGCTATTTTACTTTTCCAAAGCAAGAAATTCAGGTAAAATGACAGCAAATATTTAACTGAAGAACGAGGAGAGTAACTGAGATATGATTATCCCTAGAAATCCAGTGGGTTTTGAATAAGACCAGTCAGTTTAGTAGCATTTTAGTAATAGTAAAAAAAAATGCACACTTGTTACACTCCACTTACACTCTCTTATATTATTTTCACAAAAACGTATGAAATCAACACTATTATATCCATTTGCCTCTGGAAAAAAGATTGCTCTCTGGGTTGGATGGAAAAGGGAATGGCTGAGCTCCGGAGTTTGTTCTCCTACCTACCGGGTCATCAGAGCTCACGTGTCTTAAAGCAACAATTACGTGTTTCAATTATGGAAAGAGGCACCGTAATGAGACAGCTCATTCTTGTAATGGAATTCCAGTCTACTGTGTCTGTTGCTA